CACCAGTCGCGCTACCGACATTTAATGGGGCATTTGAAGGAGGCCTAGCAGCAGGCATGGAGTTGGCTTTAGCAGATGAAGACAAGTTGGCCGTTGTACACATAGAAGAAGCGGTTGCAGAATCCGATGTCAAAATTTACCACCCATTCAGACGTTTCGAAAGTATGGTAAATATGCAATGTATGATATAATTCGCAGCTCTTCTTATCAGAGAATATCGAAGTGTGATAAGATAGCCTTAGGGTCTGTGTATGTCTGCTTCAATTTCAATCTCGTATGCTACAGGGGAAACACCACAGTACCTGATGGAGATTGGCGTATTTATGTTAGAAAGAAAATGTCATCCACCATATAGTGCTGAGGAGAAATGGGTGGTAAATTTTGACATCGGATTCTGCAACCGCTTCTTCTATGTGTACAACGGCCAACTTGTCTTCATCTGCTAAAGCTAACTCCATGCCTGCTGCTAGGCCTCCTTTGAATGCCCCGTTCTTCGAATTCATCCCGATTATAAACTTTGATGTCATTCTCAAATGTAATCACGTCCTTCAAATTCGCCATTTACTTTGCTTACACCTTGGCTTTATTCCTTGCTTTATTCTTTGTAATTGCGGCGCTTTTTTTAATATTTCTTATTAGCTAGTTATTGATTTCCTTTTTTCACGTCTAACTTACAACGATGTCATTGAGCAATTTTATTGGTGCTGTGACCTGACCGAGTTGTTGTTGATAAGATTTGTGGAATAATTTAAGGTAATTAGAGTTGAATAAACTATACAATTGTGTTTAAATATTAGTATAATTATATTTAAAGAGTTAGAATTGAATTGGATAGATAAATAGTGTTGTTAAAAGTAAAATAGATTAAAATAATCGTTAGAGGAGTGAATTAGTTAAAAAAATTTATGTATATGTGTATAATTAGTGTATTCACATTATTAATTCTGTCGTATCTATTAACATTACAGGTTATCAAAATTTTTATTTTAAGTGATAGTAAATTTTTTATAAATATGAAGAGTTTTAAATTTATAAAATATTGGGAAGTTCAGTATAATATTATTGGAGCATTGCTAGTATTATGTATATGGGTTTGTAGTTTAATTCTGGGAAGAAGAACTAAGCGGAATCGAAGTGTTAGAATCAAAAGTCAAACTTTAACAATAGAGGGAAATAATGGAGAGGATGATGTGATGGGAAAAGCAGCTTGGTTTAAAGAATGTCGCTTTGGCTGTACCTGTGTTGGATATGAAAGAAACAGGTCGGATTATCCCTACAGCGGATTTATCCCTCAGAATAAACAGCAACCCAGCTGGCACCGCGAGACACTACGTAGCGCATGTCTTCTTCAAAAGGATGGTGAGGTCTAACACCATTGTCTTAGTCCCCGACCTCTATGACTTCAAAACATTGAAGGAAAAGATTACAGAGATAGACAAGTACCCAGCAATATATCACATTGGATTTGCATACTTGTGCGAAGGAGTGGAAGCACTAAAGCACAAGATTGAATTTGACGATAATGACGGGAATAAGTATATTGAGAAAACAGGAACTTATGGTGAGGTAGTCATGAAGGCCAGTACGCTGATGCAATCTCCTCACTACAAGAATGAGCTATACAAGTCCGATGAAGATTACAGCTCGGATTATGCTAAAAATTTACGGGAATATATCAACAGCAGGCAAAACGAAGGATTTGCTTTGATCTGGGATCTCGGCTGGGGCCGCTGTTTATGAGCAAATCGCTAAGCTGTAAGGAGTTGATGTCAATAAGGAGGTTGTTGGACTCATGAAGGAAATTGTCATATCACCTGTGAAAGAAAGCGGTGCTGTTGTTGGTGTTGCAACAGTAAGTGTTGTGGATATTAAATACTTAGCCATTAGGTTTTTTTCATAATTTTGATTACTTATATTACTTATTTATTTAAACCAAATAATGCTTATTATAGAACATTTTTATATTTATATTTATATTTTTTTCTTTTTTTTTAATTTTAGTTAATATTTGGTTTAAAGAAATATGTATATATAAGTAATCTAAATTATGAAAAAAACCTAATGGCTAAGTTATTTCTTATCCACACCACTTACTGCAGCTGTTTATGAGCCGCTAAGCTGTATGGAATTGATGTCAATAAGGAGGTTGTTGGACTCATGAAGGAACTTGACAAAGCACCTGTGAAAGAAAGCGGTGATGTTGTTGGTGTTGCAATAGTAAGTGGTGTGGATAAGAAATAACTTAGCCATTAGGTTTTTTCCATAATTTAGATTACTTATATATACATATTTTTTAAACCAAATATCAACTAAAAATATAAATAAAGGAAAAAAAAAGAGAAAAAAATATAAATATAAAAATGTTAATACTTATGGATTTAGTTTTATAAAGCATTTAAAAAACACAAAAAATAAATAAAAAAATAAAGATAAAAAACCAAGTGGATGAAGATCAATTAATCACAGGTATGCATCAAATTATTAATTTTAGTTTTAGAGTTGTGTTGGGTAAATTGAGTGAGTTATAAAATGGCGTTGTACTACTGGCAGAGTTTTTTATTGTATATAATTATCAGAGACCTGCAGAGGTACCATTTGCACGGCCCGGCCCGGTTTTAAATTTTTTAGGCGCGGCCCGGCCCGGATATTTTTTTAAAAAATTTTTTATGGCCCGGCCCGGATTTTTTAATTTGACCTGGTATATACAAAAATTCACCTATGAGGTATTTTACGATATTTTTCAGCGAGTATTATCGCTTATTATTTAAAAAATACATGTAAAAAGCTAATATTTTGAGAATATTATATTGAATTTATAAAAATTATAAAGTTATTTATAAAAATGGATATTTTGAGCATATACTATATTTTATATTGCATTTATAAAAATAAAGCTAATATTCATAAAGATGGTAATAATATTTTGAGCATATACTATATTTTATATTGCATTTAAAAAAAATAAAACTAATATTTAATTTATAAAAATGGAAAATATTTTGAGAATATAATATATTGTATTTAATTTATTATTTAATTTATAAAATAAAAATAAATCGCTATTTAAAAAAATGCATGTATAATAAATAGTATTTTGAAAATATAATCTAATTGCACAATATTAATATAATTTATTTTGTAGTATAAATTTTTAACAAAAGAAGATAATTGTATTATATAATATTGTAAAAAAAAAAAATGAAAAATGTTGGATTAAAAACTTTCATGACTCAAGGTAAATATAATAAATGCAATAAATATTTGACAGTTTGCAAAAAAACCAGCATGATTGACGAAACCCTATATTCAAGAAAGATATTAAAAATTCACAAATTATCATGAAGAAAGAGAAGCATATCTATCTTTTCAGGTTGAAGATTACTTCTTCTTTCTTCAAGAATTCTCCCAGTAGTGGAAAAATTCCCCTCACAGCTTGCACTTGAAGCAGGAATTGCCAATACCCGTTTTGCCAATTTTGCTAAAATTGGAAATTCGCTTTGATGAGCCGCCCACCACTCTAACAAATTATCCACCTTAAATGTTTCATCTATTTTTTTATTTATGTAATTATAATATTCATCATCGGGTATTGACATATTACCAGGATTACCATTGCCCCATTTGTCATAAACGATTCAGTTTGTTTAACAACAGTCGTAATTTGACTGGTCGATGGTATTTCATTTACTTCCTGAGCCTCTTGTAATTTAATATAATCTTTTATATAGTTTTCTGTCATCTTGCGATCTGTCCCTGACTACATACGTAATTGCTTGAATTTGGGACAGAGAAAAAAGAAATAAAATGATACTGGTGTAAAACAAATTTTTCAATTAAAAAATGCTTTATATTAAGTAAAATCAATTTTATTTCTCCTTTTTCGCTTTGAAAGGTATTACAAACTTCAAGAAGTGATATTCCTTTATTTGATTGTTTTGGTAAAATATATTCTAAAAATTTAGATATGAATTATAAAAAAATATATTAATAATACTTGAATATTGGGGCTTATTTAAGATATTCCTTTATTTGATTGTTTTGGTAAATTATAAAATTTAGATATGAATTATAAAAAAATATATTAATACTTTGAATAAATTTGCAGGAAATTAATAATTAGATCGATCTGTGAGTGTTAGGTAGTGCTAACCATCACCCAATATTATATTAATCATAACTATAATATAATATAATCTTATAACCATTAACTCATAATGTAAAAATTTTTATAAAAAATATTAAGGCCCGGCCCGGCCCTGGTTTAACAATCTTAGGCCCGGCCCGGGTATATTTTAAAAATTTCGAGGTCTCTGATAATTATCATAATTATAAAATCTAGTCCCTTTTATAATTTTGGAGATCACGAGTTTTACACGTGATTATAAAATCAGGCGACTATTTATAAATTTGTTAAATATTAAACAAAATAATTTTTAAAAATAAATAATAATAATAATATGACAAATATGACATATATGATTAATACTATTTTTTTAAATTAAAAATGTAAATCGTTTGAACTTATTTTAAAAAATAAGCAGAAATAAAAATTATGTAAATCAAAGAAGCCATTTAAGGGAACCCGGTCGAAGACCAGGCAAAAGCGGGCCGAAGGCCCGCAAAATGCGGGTATGGGGACGAAGCCCCCATATAAATGAGGCCGCTATAAAAAATGCCCATGAGGCCGTAGCGTCGCCAGTCCGCCTCTGGCCGTAGTTAAGTCTGAATATTTCAAGTTGAATTATTTGTCGGATAAAAAGAAATTCCCTAGCCTCTCAGGTAAAATCACTAATTCTAAGTCCTAGGGTTTTTAATATTTTTTAAAGTTCTAGGTGAAAAGCTGTTGTGGAGATGACTTATTGGGGTGAATATAAAATTTGAGATCTTTGCATTTTTAAATTTTTTTAAAATTTGACTCGGTTTAAGAAATTTATGTTGGTATTAAAAGGAAATGATAAGACACAAATAAAATCCCATATTATAGATTTAATGAGGCTCACCGAATTGTAGTCATTCTGCCATATCTTAATCTATCTGCGATAGGTTTGGTTGATGGGCTCAAGATGGTTAGGTATGGTAGCGACAACATCTATTGATGAGAGGATTTATTCAAGTGAGTGCGGCGTTGTAAAGTTATATGATAAATTTTAAAGAATGCATTTCGTTTCAGGACTCATTGACACGGCTTCCACCATGACTATGATAAGATGAAGTGTTGTAAAAAATCTCACGGAAGTAGGGGATGAGAGGCAGGCTTGTTCAGTAAAATTCTGGGGTGGCGGGGGGGGGGGTTAAAATTTTTTAGGAAAGTAGTAATTTGATATTTTGAATTTTTACATAATAGATAATAATACATTAAATCTCTTCACAAAGAAGTAAGAAAAAATATATATTATATCACTTATCTTCTTTTTTCCAAAGTTTTTTATATTTATCATAATTATAATAATTGTAAATATTTACTAATCAATAATAATTACTTGGGGTTAAATTATTTGTGGTTTCAGCAGTAGTGTGTACTTAGTTAGTTAGGAATCAATCTTGATTTTTAAGGTGGTGAAGTGGGGGAGGGGATATTTTCAGGGGGGTAGGGGTAAAAATATTTAGAGAGTAAAATCTTAAATGGCTTAAAGGGGTAAAGAAACTGTTACTGATTGATTATATAAATGACCCTTAAAGCGCATTGCTTTTCAAAAGCAATAAAATTTCCTTCTTTTTTTATGTAAAATAAATCAATATCGATTTTAAATAATTATATTTTAAGGTTCGAATTGTCATATTAAATAGCATCACCCTAATTTTAATCAATCTAGATTATAAAAAAAATTGTTTGTTTAATTAATTCTTTAAACGATCGACTTTTTTTAAAAGAATTAAGAGTATAAATCATGATCTATTATATTAAATTTATATAACATAAAGTAAAAATTACCCGATAAGTTTGTTTCGACTACAGTTAAGCAATATTGGAATATTAAATTGGGACATTCTATAGCGCGAGGTGGGTTGGTTATGCATAGAGGATCTTGAAGAGTTGAGCATTGTGAACACTTTATTCCTTTAACTTTTATAAATAGTAATTTTCAATCTTTATATATCATTTATGATTTTAATAACATTAAATTTTGATAAGGATTTCAATAATTAGGGTAGATGGTAATAAATTATTTTGATAAATGATTAAATACTATCCTTTTATTTTTATCTAATAATAAATTAATTCAATTATTTTCCAATTTCTAAAAAAATATAGCAGTAATTAAGCAAATTGAGGTTTTAACAAATTTTTAAAACTTAAATAATTTATAACATATATCTAATACTGAAAGGTCGAAATCGTATTACAGCATTTATTTGAAAAGTAATTTGTTATAGTTATTAGTTACATTCTATAAAATTAGTAACATTCAATACTTTGTAAATTATGGTTTAACTAACCATTTCTTTCTAAGTATACACTTTTCAATTTTTTTTATACAAAATAATTCTGCAATTTACAAATTTGAATTAAAGGATTAAATGAAAATACAATTTTAAATAAAGTAATATTGTACTGAAAAAATATTTTAAAAAAAATTGGGCTTAATAAAATTTTATATGATTTAAACAATAAATTATTTTTCAAAATAAATTTCTGATAGGCTTGTTAGATTTCCTCAAAAAATAAACTTCCCTAGACTAATCAAAGGCTTCACAGAAACGTTTGATGTAAATGAGACATTATATTTGATGAACCGCAATTCAAATTCGAAAATTTCCATATACAAAGAAAAATGAAAGGCGCACATAAATATTTAACATTACTTAGAAATTCTAAAAAAAGTTCCAGCTAGTAGTTCTAGTTATACATTTTTAATATTAACTAGTTATTTTGCGGCAAAAACGTAATAAATTTTCCTCATATAAATTAAGCACAAGATGTTATTGCGAAATTGTTTGAAGTTCATAGGGATATTGCATGCTGGAATGATTTGGTATAATCAGGTCTTTCAAAATTTAAAAAACGCGCACTATTAACATTTAAATTTTAGATTTTCTAATAATCAGGGTCAATGAAACATATCAATGAAAATAACCATAAATTTGCATTATATATATATAGGAAATTCATCTCAAGCTTGAAAAAAAGTATTTGTGAGCATATGTCATTATATCCCTGAGCGCGATAGTGATAATATCTTGCAATTAACTCCAAATTATTTTTTATATCTAATCCTAACTCTATATTGGATTTCGTTATCAGCTGTTGTCACTTACATACAGAGTTGTTAATCCCTATTAAAAGTAGCGTGCTACCGCATCGCTACCCATCAAAAAAGTAGCGAGCTATTAGCTACTATTTTTAAAAAGTAACTTTGGTTACTTTTTAGGCTATTTTTTATAAAAAAAATTTAGAATAAAGATAATAAATATAATGAGTTATCGCATTGAAGTTATTAAATTTCTAAATCAACATACTCAAAGAGAATGTGCTAAAGATTAAATGTTTCAAACAATGTTTACAATATTTAAAAATCAAAGAAGACATTATCAAAAGCCATGCAAATGTACAAAATAAACAAATTTTATTTGATAAATAATTATATATTTTTATTCTTATTTTGTATGCAACCATTAAAAGTATAAGGTCTAGATAAATCGGGCAACTGTCTAAGTTAGGCAAAAATCTACGTTCAAACGGTGCTCAAATTAGACAGATTTGACTATAGATTAACATCTTGATTATAAAATTCAACTTTAACAAAAATGTAATAAATAAAATAAAAATGAAGAACTTTAGTGGTCGATCTGAATTAATGATAAATTATTTATAAAATTTTTAAAGAAAATAATATAAAATATATTTTTTCCTTATTTTTTAAGGAAAAACTTAAATAACAAGTAATATTTTTGGGTTACCGTTAGTCAAAAATAAGCGCGTTACTTATTCTATTGAGATGGAAAAGAACGACGTTATTTTCATCGGCCTCACTTTACAGTAACAACAATATCTAATATCTTTTTTAAATATTTTAGCTATATTCAGGACTTCTACACTCCCCTAAGTCAATGACAATGTTACCATCGCCCCAATTTGTCCCCTATTCCCACCCTACCCGAATATATTTAGAAACTATAAAAAGATAATCCAAATTATGCTACTTCCTTTTGCCCTCTACCCCCTTCCAAAATTCTATTAAAGATCTGGGGTTATCTCATACCCTCACCCCCCCCCCCCACCTCATAGTAGAAGTATCTGATTATATTCTATCATATAAAGACTAAATCTATACTGTAAACACTAAGTTTTAAAGGTAGTGCGCTAAGCTATAACAATTTTCCCTCAAGAAATAGCTTCGCTTCTTATAGTACTTTTTCCTATAAAATTCGCGAGAATATAGCTGCTATTTTTTAAATGTACTTATAAAAATCAGGCCTCCATTTTTTTTCTCAAGAGCTAATTAAAAATATTTCAGTCCCGTAATTATATTTAATCAATTTTGTGTTCAATTTAAAAAGAGAAAATATCTTTCAAAGTCTTCATCTAGCAAAAACATCTTTTTCCCCAAAAAATGCTCTTCGCGAAACTAATGAGCCTCTCAACTGGATGAGATAGATTCTATTTTATAAAAAGATTTTTAAAAGGGGAATTTTTTTTAATTAATGCAGTCTGAGTCTGATATTGTTGATCTCAAAAATTAGAAAATGTTCTCATTTTGATAGAGCGATTTTGTTTTTGCTGTTGAGACATGATAAAATAAATATCTCCTTAGTTAATTTTATAATTATGGTAACTTTTATTATAGTATTCCTCTCTAGATTTTCGATTTCAGGTTTTAAATAAAGAATAAAGCAAGAGAAGTTAAAGCAATTGTACAAATTGTAAAGAAATTGTCCAAATTGGTTTTTTAAAAATATATTCATTTAATTTATTCAAATTATAAAAAATAAATGATATCATATCGAAATATTAATTAAATATATTTATAAAAACTTTAAAATATGAAACTTTAAAATTAATGCAATGAACAATTTTTGGTTTGGCCTGCTACCTTTTATGCGTCCTTAAACGCTAGGACGTTTCTCAAAAAAATATTATGAATTAAAACGCCTTAAAGTTAACAGATCTTCTCAGGCATGCGCCTGTAGATTAAACCGAATTAGCGGACATTTGCCATTATACCACTATTTGCTAGTAAAAAAAATGTAGCGCGCCACTTTCAATAAGCTATTTTTAACAGCAATGATCTGTATAAACTTGTTTTTAAATGTAAATTCATTTTAAAAAAATTATAAGAGTTAAAATGCGAAATATTTCCTCCAAAAAATATTTTTAAAGGTTATGTATGAAACTTAATAGATATAGTTTAGAATGAAATAGGAGGCCGAGGCTACTGATAAAACTAGGTAAAGTTACAGACAAGTCTTTTTTTGGTAACAAAAACTTGTTTTTAAATGTAAATTCATTTCAAAAAAAATTATAAGAGTTAAAATGCGAAATATTTCCTCAAAAAATATTTTTAAAGGTTATTTTATCAATATGTATGAAACTTAACAGATATAGTTTAGAATAAAATAGGAGGCCGAGGCTACTGATAAAATTAGGTAAAGCTACAGACAAGTCTTTTTTTGGTAACAATTAAAAATGGTTGGCATGGCGCTATAACCAGTAGCATATCTAGTATTTTATTTGTTGAAGAGATTAAGGGGAACGGGGTCGAGTTAAATAATTATTATAAGACAGTTCAATAAATGTTTTTAAATTAAAATTAGAAAATCAAAAAAAAAGGTAGTTTTTAAAACGTTTCATTCTGTTTTATGGTTCATTCAGATAACATATTTAATCCAATTTTTAAGTATAAAAAAGTGGGGTGGGGCGAAATATCAATTTCTATATGCCAGCTTATTACTCGAAAAAGGGATAATTTAGTATTATGCTTATATTCAATTTAAAAACGACTAAAAAAAATACATTTAAGCAAGTTGTTTTTCGTTAGATGATCATATTATTTTTTTCTGAAAAACAAATTAAAGAAATAGATAATTTTTATACACTGCCTATTTTGCCGAGACCACCTTTCCCAAGGCATATTAGTGTAATGATCTAATTTAGCGAGCACTTAAATCAGCTCTCCTGAATCAACCACTTCCAGACGGAGTGTTTCCAATTTCATGGTTAAAGGGTCAGCTTCTGGTTTGGAAGTTCACCTTCATTAATCTAAATGCCCTGTCCAACCAAAATGTCGATGCTGTCACATTTGCCGAATTTTGGAAATAACCAAATATAGTTCCATCAATCCTTTTTATACATTCATACCGATTGCCTGCCCTACTCTAACCTCTTCCGATAGCAAAGCTCAATTGGGGAGTTTAACAGCAAAAAGATCAATCAGCTCAATGAATCTCTTATCTTATGACAAAGTCCTGCTAAAACAATTATTCGTTGTAACTCTCTAAATTTTATCTCTTTCATCGAATTTCCCATACTTCTTTCGAGTACCTTCTTCTTTTATTCTTAATTTCATTTATTTTTTTCTCCTTAATTATAGAACGCCATTATTAATTTTATATTTTAAAAAATTGTTCTTATTAGATATATTCACTTAAATATATATAAAGAATTGCATGGGAAAAAAAATTACAATTACCTTGATAAATATTTGTGATTTTGAATATCATTATACATAGTATGCAAAGATTTCCTGTGAAATTTAAATGGTAAAATCTGTAAACGATTCTTGACAATACATTAATTTGAAGATTATTCTTAAATATTAACATCATTTATCGCATTCATTTGATCTCTTTTCATTTTTTATAATTACTTATGTACATTTCCTAATTGTGCAATCTATTGGAATATAAATGGGATGTCTCCCATCTTTTATATTAAGTTTTCGAAAATGTTTATAAATTTAAGATACATCAGGTGTGAAAGTATTCGATTGCCATTATATTTTTGATAAAATAATCCTCCAAATTATAAGCATGGTAGAAAATATTAGATTATATGTTTTCAATTTTTCCCCACAATTATGTGATTTATTTTACAAAAATATAATTTTTTATGTGAAAATGTTTTTCTCCGGACAAATATTTCATTTCGATTATAAAATTTTATTTCCATTTCTAATATTTCTTTTTATGAATTTTAAAAATAATATGAATGCCTTAAATACTATAAATTTCTTATCAACTGAAAATGGAAATATATTTTAGTAAAAAAGGTTTTAAATTAAACCCACAAAATCAAAACGGTATATTGAATGATTTTAATTATTCATATAATAACTTTTGAAATAAAACATTCGGATCCAGCTGTTTATAAGAATTTATAAATCAATAATGGAAATTATTAGATAAGAATAATACCAGACTATATTTCTGATTCAAAGCAAAGCATATTAATGTAAATATGTTTATAAAATCGAAATAATAGAGTTAAATTATCGTTATATTCTTATTTTTTTATAATTATACAGTTCTGTAAATTTCCACTGCGAAATGAATCATCATAGAGAGGCATAAACATAATATTTTGAATTAATAATTCTAATTACCTGAATTTTGTAAAATATCTCAGGTTTAGTTAAATGTTGTGTAATATACTATATCTAGATAGATTCGTTCATTTTTTAAATGTATACTTAATAAATTCCACAAATTTCGTTAGAAAAAGGCATAAATGTATTTGGAGGGGCCAGCTATTACCTCTTTAATTTTATGGTCATACAATCTATATGACTCGTTTAAGATAACAAATTGCTTATTCCCTTTAATATAAATGTGATATTTTCAATTATAAAAATTTGAGTTATAAACTTAAACTTACAATAAAAATAAGAAGAATAAATACTATTTATTTAATTTTTTTAAAACTATTTAAAAAAAACTTTTATTGAAAAATATAATATTTTTATCTAATTTCTCTAAAATGTTCAGAAAAGATTTCGTTTTTTATTGATTTTTGAGAGAGCGAGAAATTTAAAAATTTTTTATTTAGGAGCGAGAGAGTTAAATATTTTATAAAACCAATATTAAATATTAGGGATATAAAAATTTTAAAGATATTTCTTTTGTTTTGCGGTAATTGGTTCACAAAACGAAATTTATAATAATAATAAAAATGGTATTTTAAAAAATGAAATATTGGCGTAAACATTAATTTTATATAAAGCCGATATACATTATAATAAAATATAGCTAATTCTAAATATTCAAACTATATTTTTTTAGAAACAACTCTAGCTTTTCCATAAGCATTATTTTTGATATATGATAATTTCTATGTATTTAATGTATATGGAATAAAAGCATATAATTAAATCATACTGAAACGGATTTTTAAATATTTATAAACGTTCCTTTTTAAATAATTAGGGTAATAGATCAGTTCTAACAGTTAAAGCCTTATATAGCCTAATTGTAGAGTATTGGTTATAATGAAATGAGATTTATTTTAGAGATTGATACTAAAAAGATTTTCTTATAGGACAACTTATACAAAATATTTTCCAAGCCTGAAGTTAACAATTTTTTTAAAGCTTAGAATTAGGAAAATTAATGTCCTTTTCCTTCATAAAAATATTAAGGGATGGTAAAAAAAAGTTTTCAAAATTCGGGCTTTGCATCGCAGATCTATATTTTATTGATCAGTTCCTATACTTGTAAACTATAAGCTAGTTATTCGAAAATCACAGTTCATAAATAAATAAAATTCTATTTAAGCCTTGAAAACTCAGACATCCTGTACGACAAAACAAGTTAGAAGGAATATGTTTCGTTTACAGAAGTTAGAACTCTCGAAACTAAATTATATCACCAATGTCATCTTACGGATACAAATGGGTTCAGAACCATTGGCAGACCAAAATCATATGAGAAGACAACACAATCTAGTGCAAAGGGGCATGTTTTAAGGAGATGGATGTAGCTCAAAACCACACTATAAGATGGAATAGAACAGGAACAACAAGGCCTAACATTTTTTGGGACCGAATTAAGATGAAATCCATATTTTAAATTTAGACGAAATAGAAGGAGGTCTTTAAAACAGTGGCGCGTTGCTATTTCTCAATATTTAGGAGTGTTAAAATGACAATTTTATTTATTCATATATAGTTGCAGTGGCGTATCCAGAATTTTCTTATGGGGTATATTAAATTATTCATAATTTAATAATAATTATATTTCTATTTTTAACTATTATTTACAATTCGTGCTTATGGATATTACAAGCCTATTTTTTAAAGTTAGGTATATTATATTTAATAAAGTTTTTTTAAATGTAAAGTTGAAATAAAGTTTAATGTCATTTTTTTTATAAAATTTGCTTTAAAAACTAGCCTCAGCTTAAATTCTCATACAATATAAGTAGAATATAATTTTTTTATTGATAATAGTAGTGTGTATAAAATATTGACTAAAAAATAATTTAAAAAACAATTTTTTTTAACTTCTTATTAAATAGAATAAAAATTTTTATTAAATACTATAATTATAATGTGATTTTTAATTTTCGTGGGAATGTTGCCAATTCATCAAGAATTTTGTTTGTCGTTCGAACCAAATCTCTGTGAATATTTAACAAAGCTAACCCATTTAGCCGAGATTCGGAAGTAGTACTTCGTAAATATGTTTTCAACCTTCCCAAGTTAGAAAAAGTCCTTTCATTCGTACATGTTGTAATAGGCAAACGTGCAAAAATATAAAACAACTTCAAAATATTAGGGAATTTAGCCAAGGTTTTTTTACACCGAATGAGCGAACAATAGCATGCTCAGGTAAAATAGCTAAACGTAGTAAATATTTATACCACAATTCGAATTCATGATTAAATTTATTTTAGTATCAACATCATAGGAATAAAATTTTGATAAATATTTAATTTTACCAATAGTGGCATTTGAAAACGAAGAAGGATCTTTGGGTAATAAAACTTGAAGATTGCTAAAGACTTGTTTTTTTTATCTAAAAACCGTACTTTTATCTGCGTTAAAAAAGTATCTAAAAATGGGATGAAAATGGATATTTTATAATATTCTTCAGTTGAGCCAATATTTATTTTACATCTCAATAATTGCCTAGGTGCTAGACGAGGTTTAATTAGTGTTATATCATAAAATTTAGCCTTCGATTCAACGTCTAGATAAATATTATGAAAATATTCATCTACATTCATTCTTATTGTATCTATCTGTTCATACATATTTTCCGCCAAATCAATAACCTGAACCAAATCTAAATTTGGTTTTTGTAAATTTCTACATAGTAGTGAGCTATAGGAAAATAATTTATTGATGTAAATAGCAGCAATGATAAACTCTGATTGATCAATTGAATTCAATAATGATATCGCTTCTGACGACACATTACTTTTTTTCATGCTCAGCCTTATTTAACTTTTGTATTTCTATTTCTTCTGTTCTACAAAATGTAAGTAAAAATGAAAAATATTTAAAAAATTATAGATATTTATTAGTAATTAAAATATTATTAAAAATACTTATTAATTCTAACTCACTAATATTTTTGAATTTAATAAAATAAATTACCGTTTGATTTCAATGTCTTTGACTAAAAATTTTTCCATTTTATTAATATTTTTGAATAATGTTAATGTACTCACAAGGAAAGGAAATTTTAATAAAATTTATTTTTTTAATTTTATGTTGGAAAATTGATATTCAAATATTTGTAAAATTTTAATTTGGAAGGGGGGGGTGGGGGGGGGGGGTAAATTTTTTATTAGCTTAAAATGATATTTATGAAAACAGTCAAATTTGCGATGGGGGGATCCCCCCCCATTGGTTACGCGCCTGTATATAGTTGCTTGATTATAGGTTCTAAATCAAATGAGAATAATTTTACCAAAAACTATAAGATATTTAAACAAAAATATTTTTTTTAAATGTTAAATATTTTATTAATACTAAAAAAAATATTTTATAAAATATAACTTTTTGAAAAATTTAGAAGAGTGATTTTATAAAAGAAATATAGAATCTTTAGTCATTTTATTTCAATAAAAGTCAGAATAATTGCCACTTTTCCTTTCCTTTTGGAACTTTTCCATCTATGATTAACACTTTTCCTTTTTTGATTGTCATATTTCTTTTTTTGGGGGGATTTTTCATTTATGATTGACCTTTTCCTTTTTTGATCAGACCTATTCCTCTTTTATTGATACTTTTTTTTTGATAGGACATTTTCCTTTTTTTGGATGGGAAACCTTGTATATTACTTAAGAGATACATTTTTGTAAAAGTTAAAATTTTAATATTTAAATGAGTGATGGGTGGAATGAAAAGTACATTGAAAGCTGTAATAGTCTAAAAAGATATAATATACTATCAATAAGACCGTTCATATTTAAGTAAAGAAGGGAAAATAAGAATTTAGAGTATATAAAATAATATGAGTAAATAGTATGGGTGGGTGGGAGGCGGGGATTAGGTGGGAACTAAAATAAGATTTAATATTGATAAGGAGTTTTGAAGATTATAAAGTCAAAAAAATAACATTCAAGAATATAAAATAGTTAAAATACAAAACAAATGTATTTTTTAATCTGAGAATATTGATTAAATAATTTAATGTTATTTTTTTTTAAAAAAATCATTAAGTTAAAAAAGTTGGCAAAGGTCATTTTTGTAAATTTATATCTCTAAATTTCTTTAATATTTTTGATTATGACGTGATAAAAATAATGTTTGATTGGTTAAACAAATCGAACCTTATAATAAAATAATAGATTTATTAAAAATC